AATTAAACAAGTTTAATATAACAATGTATATTTATAAATATTTAATAAAATAGACTAGAAAAAAATACAAATAAGAAAAAAAAATTTAAACAAGAATTATTCAACAGTTTTGAAAAAATAAAAAATAAATGCATGATGTTTCACATTTAATTTTGTAACTTTTAGATGACAAAAAATATTAAAATTGTCACAACAGAATGAAAGCACTTCTTAACATTTACCTGACAATCACGATAATAGCAGCTGTGATATTATCATTTGGAATAAGTGCATCTACAATTATATCTACTACCACAAAACTACCTACTATCTTCTATGCATCCACTATCATAGGTGTTCCTTCAAGATCATATTGCCCAACAGGCCAAAAAAAAATGCTCACGGAATATGTCGCAAGATGGTATAACGGTGATGACATGCAGGTGATTATCAATAACTATTATAATTTTAATTCAATTATTATTATAATTTAAATTCAATCTTTAAATTTAACTTTTTTAGAAATTATTTGTTTTCAATTCTACCAATATTCATGATAATAATCTAAGTCTAACAATTCACAAAGACAGAAATTTTCAAATAATCTAAAATATATGCGAATTAGTAACAATATTTCTACATCTGTATAACCTGTCTGAGATTTTTGTATGCTAGCGTAATTACTTGTGCAAAAAAGAATCTGGAATTAACCGGTTTGTTCTCGATAACAAAATATCATGGTAAAAATAATTAATTGGTATTAAAAATTGGATTATAAATAAAGAACACATGCAAGAGAAATGACAAAGAGTGTTTGTTTGTTGAAACTATAAGACGAGGTAAGAAGTTTCAAATTTGCGAAAAAAACGGAAGATAAAATCATATGAACAAAAGTAATGAAAAAAAAATATTACGAAAGCGTTAAAAAAATATTATTAAAAATATTAAAATATCAAAATAAAATTAAAACTATCAAGAAATATAAAAATTAAGAGTAGAACAATTAAGAAATAAAAATACTTATGTATAGAAAAATTTACGAAAAGAACTCAAAAGAAAGAAATTATATAACATTTATTTTAGAATTTCCAAAGATTGAAGAAATGAATATATTATATGTATCTGAGATTTAATTTTGTATTTTTTAGATCGTCAATATTCTCGCATCATCATGAAAAGAATCCTTAATAATGTTTCTGATAATAGACGCCAATGTAAAATCATATCTACGTAGAACCACAAATTCACGTTCTAGCATCACACCTATAAGTACTACCATTGATTCACAACAGTTTTATGGCTATTTTATAACAGCACCTGAAAAAATGACGATTACGACAATGTGCCAAAGTAAGTTATAATTTAAATAAACATAATATATGTCGCAAGTTAGAATAAACGACGAAAATATCCAAGTTATTATTGATTGAACATTTTATATTATAATTTTATAATTACAATATAAAATATAAAGCTTATATTAAGTTTTTAATTTTTTATTATATTAAGTTAAATAATGCAATAGCATTTACTAAACAAATTCATAAAAATTAATAAACATTATATATATATATATATATATATATATATATATTGTATATATATGTATTAAAATTTTAGTTTTTTTAAAGTTATAATATATTTCTATATTTCTATGAATATATTGTGAGTATATATAATATATATATTTTTTCTTTTATTTGTTGCAGACTCAAAAACATTGATCATTTTTAAAACTCCAACATCGCCAATTAACAGCTAAATAATCCAATAAAGATGATAGGCTAATTTAGAAAATACAAAAATTATATAATGGTCTATAAAAAAATAAATATCAATTTTTATTTTCATGAATAGATAGTTGTAATGTGCTTTATAAGTTCAAATTTGCAATAAAATAATTCCATCATTAAATTTAATAATTCAAAAAGCATTCCTTTCTTATTTTATTATTATTCAGTGCAACGGTTTTCAATTATTTGAGGACTGACTGTAAATTGCGGGATTTGATAAGGTTGTTTACTGCGCGCTCCATATCCTCCCCCCCCCCCTCTCTCTCACTCTCTCTCTTTCTCTCTCTCACGTCCTATAAATTCGCATGCATATTGTTGTTCTCTCTCTATTTTTTGCTTTATGCAAAAACTAGGTCGCACCTATTTCTTTCAAATAGGTGCGACTTTGTCCTTGATGTGTTTATCATTCACACGACGGTACGTGTACGAAGTAGATCGCATTTCATATCGGCGCGTTATTCTCTTTAATAGTATTCTTATTAATTCAAAGAGCATTCTTTTCTTATTTTATTATTATTTAGTTTCCCACATTTTTTAATCTTATCTTTTTCTGTCATTACAAACGCAACCGAGTGTCGAACGTGTGATTCGTACAATGATATTCAAGTTTTGTTTTGTCCGAATAACAAAATATGCCGAAATGTCGTTTAAAACGTGCGATTTACGAATATGCGTCGCAAGCGCGTGTAAGTGCTTTAAAGAACTGCAAAGAGAACTGAGCGGAGGAGAAGGCTCAGAAAGAGTATCGGACGCCGGCAAAGCAACTTTAGAGTAAGTAATCATTCATTTATTATCTGTTATTTGTAAAATATTGCATATAAAATGTTATTTAACGCATATAGAAAATTTGAAATTTTAGTACAAGATTTGTAATTTTTAATATTTATCGTTATTAGAATTTTTGACATATCTATCATTTTAAAAATTACATTCTCTTGAATAAATATATGATACTTTTTAGATATTTGTAGAAAAAATGAGTAAAAAAACTGAATTGCGTAATTATTTCTCAAATAATTATTTTGAATGCTATTGTATAAATATATGTTATAGATAAATTTTACAGATCAACAGAATGACAATTCCGCTGTTGTGCCGGTGAGTTCAATTTGTTTTTATTTCAATATTAATCAGATAATAAATTTAAAAATAATGTAAAATATATTTTATTCTTGACATTCAAATATTTCTAGTAAAAATAAAGTTCTTTGAAAACATATTTTAAACAAAAGTTACTGTTTTTTTTTTTAAACATATAGCCTTAGTTGGATCTTGCATTGAACTTGACTTTTTCAAGATTATATCAAGATCAGACCTAGATTTCGTAAAATAGAAATCTTCATTTTTTTAATGCGTATTTTAATTCGTACGTCGAAACATTTTCAAAATATTACAATAAAGCATTTTGTTCGTTTAGTACTTCTAGAATTATGAATCTTAAAATTTATAATATCTTCGACATTTAGGTCGCGCAGTCGGATAACACTTTATTTTTTTTTTTTTTAGAGAAGTATGATTTGTTATTAACTTAAGCACTATATCAATTAATTAAAAAGATTATTATGATATATATAATACTCTTATTACTGTTGTTATTGATATTGAGTCTTAAAAACTGATTAATTGTGAACTAACGTCCTGCGTGAGTGTACGCTGATAACAAATAATATTTTCTTTAGATGTGTGTAAGTTTCTTGATTATATCTCCTATATTCTCATTAAAGCATTACTTAAAACCGAATACCACGATCGACTATTCCTGGAATGAAATAGTTGACATTCTCTTGATCCTAGGTGAATGTCATAATTATCGTGCAGCAACCAGGCTGTATGAAATACGATTTCCTAATCGACGTCATTCGTCTTTCCAAGCGATTCATGCGATTGCCCGACTCCGTGACCTCCTAAACGCCGAAGGTACCGGAAAATTCATAACTCTGGATTTCAAGATTCATAACTCTAGAAATACTAAACGAAATACTAAACAAAAAAATACATAATAAAAATGAAGACTTTTGTTTAAAAAATCTAGATGATTTTGATATAATCTTTGAAAGATCACGCAAGGTTCGTAAGATTAAGGTCAGCATCGTTTTCCTCTGAAAAGGAAATTTATATTCAACTTATGCAAACAATTTCAGAAATTAAAAAAGTGAATAAATTATTAATTAAAAATTTTTTAATTTTAGAAATTTAATATTTTTTAGATTGTGAAGAATATTAATAAAGCATGATAAAAACGTTTCTTAATATTTCCTCTCGAATAGACTAATAATAGCCATTTTAATAACATTGAGAACATGCAAGTATACACAACCGCATGTATGCTTGTACACCACACCAACCACAACCGCACATACCACAATAATTGCTTATACAGTTTTTTCCTTCAATCTCTGTAACATTATCATTGACATTCCTGCAAGAATTAATATAACTAATATTAATCTTTGCCTGCCGAATAAGAGAAAATATACTCATAGAAAATGCCACAAACCGGCATATGCCGTAACCAATTGTAAGCAAAACAAATCGGTATAGCAAGATATGTATATTAATTCTATAGAAATCTTGATTGCGATAATCTTAATTATTGTCTATGCGCGAGCGCTTTAATTTATAGATATATTGTCAATCATACGTTATCTCCAAGAAACTGTTGAACAATTTAATAAGAGCAATTTTCAAAAAATAAATTTTAATTTTTATATTAATATTGTCATGTCATCTTGTATTAGTTGTAGTTTTTCAATTCTCAAACGTAATCGTGGAATTTTATTAATAACCAGTTTCATTCAATACTTATGTAATCGGCAAGATATAAATATGAAGCTCGTAATGTGCAAACTGCACAGTTTGTTCAAGTGCTGCAACTCGACAATTGAATTTGTGAAATAAGAAAAAAAGGTTATAGAAATTAGAAAACTCAGAAAAATTTCTAAAGTAAAGAAACGAAAGAAAAATTTCCAAAAGTAAGCTATATACATATATAATATAAGAAAAAAGTAACAATATTTAAAAAATAGAAAAAAATAATTAAAAATAAAAGTATTATGGATTTCAATTTTACAAGGATTTTGTTCTTTTTCCAGAATTATTCAAAAATGAAAATTCTACTGATAATTGTGATATTAACAACCACAGTGATTTTGCCTAACGCTTGTCAAGATAACGTAAACGAAACGTTGCCTTCTGTGGTGCAATATAGTATCATAGTGGTTCCGGAGAGACCTTGTCCAGAAGGTCAACGAAAAAATCACCATGGAAAATGTCGCCAAATTGTTTAAGTTGCAAAGACGTGCAAAGTATGTAAGAAAAAAAATGTTAAAAGATTCAAATACTCTAGTGCTAACTGCGTGAGATAGATATAAATTTACTATATATTTTTATATTAATATTTATATCTTTTTTTATATTTTAATATGATCATTTCTATTACCTATTATTACTATGATTATTTCAATGGAAACATAGTTGTTACGTTTTATTCGTTATGTGTTACGACTATCTCTCCTAAAAGCATAATGCTATTTTTCAAGCAGCTCGGCACATTAAGGTTGATAGTAACTACAAAACTAAATTTTTACGGCCGTGGAGTCTAATTTTTTCAACATGTGGTCGTGGAATGCGTGGAGTCCGTTAGTAACCAGTCTTTCTGATCGTGCTTACGTCATCACGAGAATATAAATGACAGCTTCGCAACAGACAAATTGCAGAGTTCGTTTACTCGTTCAAACCAAACAGTCGAATTAGTAAATTGAAAGATTGTGAAAATTGTAGAAATTAGAAAGAATTACAAAAGTAGATAAAAAAATAATTGACAAAAATTTACATATATGTATGTATAGAGAAAATTAAGAAAATTTTAAATAATAAAAAGAAACAATATATTGGAATTCTCATCCTTTTTATTATTTAAAAAATAAATTTCTCAATATCGCTCGAAGATGAAATTTCTGCTGATAATAGTGATATTGGCTATTGTAATTCCACCGAAAGCTTGTCAAGAGGAAACAACGACGAGCGAAACATTGACAGATGAAACAATGATAAGTGAAACAACCGATCAATCTAAACTTGTGAAACATAGTTTTATAAAAGTTCCGAATAGATTTACCGTTGAATTTACCCCTTGTCTGAAGGGCGAGCGGAAGGACCATCACGAAAGATGTCGTAAAATCGTTTAACATGCAGAAATATGTGAGATAACTAGCAATTTAAAATCATTTATTTCGACTCTTATCTTTATCTTGGTGCTTGTACATTTCATAAATGTACATTTCATAAATGAGATGATATATCTTTTTTCTATCAATATTTAATTAAACGTCACATTTTCTGTAATCTTCGAAAGTTTAAAATAAAATATCAGTATTTACAGCTTGAAATAAAAATACTGTTAGTCTCTGACGAAAAGTAAGTGCAAATTTTATTTTTATTTTAATCATTGATATTCAAACAATTGTCCACGTTTTAATATTTCTTTAAAAACATCTTTCCTCTTTTCAACGAGAAATACGCTAAATGCACTTATCAATATTCAGGACAAAATTTCAAATTGAATCAAAACATAAAATAGTTCTATTATAATATTGTTATTCTAATTTATAAAAAGGATGAGAAAGTTTTTTTCTTTTGACAAGTGATAAGCTTGCGTCCGATAAACTTGCTTTTGCCTATTTTTCCCGTAAATAATCGCTTTCAATCTTTTTTTATCAATGCATAAAGCATCAAATAGAATATTGATGAAAAAAGAAATTTGAATTTAAGTATATGATTTATATGATTGTATTATAAAGATGACAGATTGGAAAAATAGTCTATAAATATGTAGTTTGTTAATGTATTATTATTTAATCAAATTTTTCTTCCGCATATGAAAAATTAATCAAAGAATGTTTCTAAACTCTCATTATTTGGCGACGATTTCAAAATTGTAATAGCCTGCGCATTCTATAGTAAAAGATCAATCAAATATCTGTCTTCTTAATAGAGCATTATCGACTGAATTGTTGACGAAAAAACTTGGATGTTTAAAACACGCAGAGTGAAATCCTTCAACGGAAAACTCATTTTCAAGGAGGAAGCCGCTCGGTTTCTTTTTTTCTATCAAACACTCCAACTATTTTCATATTCACGCGCAAGAGATTTCTACAGTACGACGAAGTTTAACGATTTGAAACAAACGCACGAGCGAGCGAAAAGGGGCGATTCCGCGCAGGTCTCGGCTTCGCTGGTACTAGATCTTTGGAAAACTCCCGCTAGTTACGACAGTTTGTTAGCGAGCAACTTCGCTACTAATATCGACAAGGTTGCGCCCAGGCGGTGAGTTGGTCCAACTTTAGTGTAACTTTCCACCGTCCGTTCTCCACCCACTCGCTCACTTGTTGCCCCCCTTGCATACACGCGCGTGTGAGAGTAAGCAGGAACGCGACGGACGGGCTATCATTAGCGCGGCATAATGCGACTATGTGGTTGCACTACGTGGTGTGCCCCTTTTGTGTGTTGCACGCCCTCCTTACCGCCGTTCAGTTTCGCCGATTTTCAAAGGAAAACAAGATCGCGAATTCGTATGGTTTCGCCGTCACGGAATGCCACTAATTCTTCCACTGCTACATTTTGAATATACCGTACTAGATATGCGGTCACCAGTTTGGAACAACTGTGATCTTCAAATATTAATATTATTTCTTGTGCATTTCCTTTTTAAATACATATTATATCTTTCTGCGCATACTAAAACACGCTGTTTCATAGGAATATGTAAAGTAGAAGGAATTAAACAACATTAATATATTCTTTGATATACAATGTAAAAATATATTCAATTTTTAATTAAGTGATATTAAATATTGCGCTATATTTTAGTTACGTCATTAAAACAATCTTCTTTAGAAATTAGTAATAATACGTAATTATTTTGTCAATAATGTTTAAAATTAATTTTTTTTTTCAATATTAATTTTTCACGGTGTCTCTCATACAAAACTAAGCAAAAGAATTTTTAAATATAAATAATTATAAATTTAATTTTATAATAATGTTATCATAATTTCGTCTTATATACATTTGAAGATGAAGAATTTCGCGATATTGGACGGAGGGAAGATCCGTAAGATGCTTTCCTTTAAAAAGCGGACTTTCCTAGAAGAAAAGACGTAAGCTTCTCTGGTTCTTTATCAACTATAAGCACAATACTTCGTGATTCACCGAATAATAAATATAATAACAAATAGATTTAGCGGAAGGATATTTTTCGAGCTTTGCGAATGAATGAATAAAATAGAATGAATAGTATACAGGATACCTCGATAAAATTCTACTTTCTTTCTTATTTCTAATAATCTTTGAATATATTATGGATAGCTAATCCTTTCTCAAAGGAAATATATTGCACATTTCTTTTATTTTTTTGCATTTAAACTGTAGATCGTTGTTCATTTATTGGCTAAATAACCAACATCTGTGAAATCATCAATATGGAATTTACATTTTAAATTGTAAGTTGTATTAAATTAATGCACATTATACATTTCGTGATAAAGTTCTCGAAAGTCAATTGAGGAACAACGTTTTGCAGTAAAAGACGACACATTTTAAATAATTGCTTTGAAGAAATATTGACTTTGAGCTCACTTAACCGTAATCGAAATTGTCAAGTTAGTCGACGTCTAGTTAATTTAGGACAACCTATATATTGTGCAATCCCTCGAGCACTTATTACGTTTAAAATATCGGATATCGTCAGATTTTATCTTATCTTTCTTTTTCATCTTTTTAGATTCATTAACGAAAAGGACATCGCCATTATAAAACATGCGCGCGCGCTCGGGAAATGATATCTTTATAATTTTTGCAGAACAAAGTGGAATACACGAGAAACGTAACTGAATATTATTCGATTCTTAAATTAACGGCATCATTAAAAAAATTTAATATGAATATCATATGCGATCCCTGATATTATTTTTCTCTTTTTACATCGCGGCGGATATTTTATTACGCAAGCGGTGCCAATCTACTGATCAAATTTATGTCGTAATTGCGTTTAAATTGACATTGGACCGATAAAACTGGTTTCTGAATATTACGCGGAAAGCATTAGCGACGAAAAAGAATTAAAATACTTTTTAAATCATCAAGTTGAAATAAACTGCTATAAGGAAAAAGAAATTTTTTTATAGGAATCGGATTTTTTCATATAACTAAGCTAATGAGCAAAGACGTTAATTACCATTGTTACGGTTAATTACACATTCTTTGCTGTATGATGTAATTTGAACGTACCGAGGAAAGAAGGCGTTCCACTGTGTTTAAATAAATTCTGCAGTTTTCCGTTTCTTTATCTTTACTTTTTATCTCCGTGAAAATTGCTAATAAAAGAGATTGGGCCGTTACATTTTCCTGTAACGTTACGATGCTATAAAAACACGTTTCGCCTTCTATAGACTCTCTCATTTCCTTCAAAGACTGCGATACTTGTGTACTTTCGTATTCAATACTTTCGAATTTTTATATTCTTGCGAGTTTCTTTATAGCAGAGCTTCTTGTCTTCCGATTCTCGATTCGCAGTGTCCGATAGACACGCAGATTGAAATACAAGATCACGGAAAATGATGGTACGATTTCTCGTCCACCTCTGACTGTTCTTAATCCCCCTTTGAATAGTAACGCGAGCCTTCATAATGTAAATGGCGCTTACATTACGTGGCGTACTCTCGAGCAATTCTCATCTACGTCGAAAATTTCCATATAAGAAGATTGTTGATTAATGAGTTTCCGTAACGTTTGAATGACAGCACTGATAATATCATCGCATCGAAATTATTCATTACATTTGACGCAGTATTCATACATCATGCAAATTGAGATTGTCATATATGTTGGAACATTTTCTATGAAAGATCAAACATTGGAGGATTTCTCATTATGCTTTAGCGCGTAAACAGAAACCAATAATAACGTCCCGTAATTAAAATTTGGGGTTATTTATTATGTGACCGCACGCGAAACATGTGACGGCTGAGTAAACAGCGAAACGCGGACATATGATGCTGACGCAGTGTAAATGATCTTCGTGTTATCCATTCCCGGTTTATGTCAACAAGAGAAGATTAAACTGACCGCGCGCGCTCGATAGCTAAATGAATCGGTAATTACATACTTGAAGAAGTAGCTGTCGTTGACGTATCCGAAGAAGGGCACTGTGTAGGTCAGCATCCAGATATTGCCGCCCCCGCAGTCGTAGTACGGCTTCGACCACCTGCCATCCTCGTATTTCACTGTCAGGATCTCGTCCTCCTCCCTTTCTGTGTGCATGCTGTCGTTGAACGTATAGGTGTGGAATCCTGGGAACAGAGCGACGGAGAAACCATTAAATAGGCGAGTCTATTCCTCCCCGAAATTTAATTAAAGACTCCCTATTCTAATGACGATTCAATAAGCACATTTGCTTAATTAATTTTTAATATAATGTGCGTTGCGATTAATTTTTGACGCATTAATATTTTAGTTAGTACACGAATTTATTAATATGTCAAAAAATAATTGCGATGTATTAATTCAAGATTATATAATCATACGTTGCTATTGAAATTACATAATACACTTTAATCAAACGTACGTCCCATTTTATATTATTCAACGTTAATCTTTACAGCGATTCAACAATAATTATTGTGTCATTTGGATTATTTCATTACGTAAGAGTATTGTCGAGAAATGCAAATTAATACAATTCAATATAAATACGCTGGTATTTTGATGTCAAAACTATATTACAATATTTAATTTTACATGATTTATTTTCACGCAATGGCTTAATGTTTATTCTACCGAATATAATGTCGGATGAAATTTGCGCTACAGCATCAGAATTAATTTTCTCACACAACTATTTTTTCCCTTTATTTTTGCTTCTCGAATCCGTTTGTTGAGACAATGCTTTCTGAAGTTAATCTTCGAGGATCTGGAGAGGCAAGATCCAGACTTCCCTAGAGTATCCGGAAGCACACCGTATAATATTTCGAGCGAGGTTCTGGTAATTCAAGGATCTAACAATAAGAGTCGAGACTCCGGGCGCGACATGTAAGTTCATCCAGCTGCAGCTTGTGCACGTGCATGTACCGTAGAAGGTATTAAGGGAGGATCAATATAAATATACAAGGCAAGGTGAAAGGAGGTGCCGCGCTCGAGAAATCGTCTCCGAGTCACGAGTAGATACGGGTGAAACGAGCCTCATTTCTGTATCTGTTTCTCTCCTAACTTGCGCTGCTCGCCTTTCCGTCTTTCCGAGTCGTGACGACGTATCTTCTCCCTACATTGCCGAAGAAATTGCTGAGTTTTATCGGGCATGATCCGCTCGAATGCGAGAACCGTTATTCGTCCAATTTTCCTTGTATTGCACCGATAATCGATGTCGTTCGCAACATCATTCGTGTAACGGGACACACGCTACCTGGAGCCACTATGATTGTAAAGCGCTTTTTTTAATCTCTTTTGCTTTTTTATCTTGCTTTCACACATACACTCACACAGTCATAAATTACTTCTCTTTCCAAGATAGTAACATTTCGCATTCGAATTCCCGAGCGCGTCATGAAGCATCTCGGATTACATTAAAAAGCAACAGAATTCTTGCTACCGCGGTGAATAGTAATAGAATTATACAACGTCGTAAATATTTATCAAGGTGATTTGCATATACTTAAATCGGTAAAAATTAAAGCTGCCAGCTGAAATAATTATGATAAATCTTTGTGTTCTTTGAAATTGCGATTAGTTGTAATTTATAAATTAATGCAAACAGTTACAGATTAGAATTGATCGTGATAATTGCATGATTTTTTATCTTCTTTTGTATATGCAACACGATAAAACTCTCTTACGCGAAACGTTGTTTTTATAATTGTTACTTAGTTGCAATGATATTAACAATTGAATTCTCACAACTGAATAGGAATGTAAAAACAAGAAAAAAAGAACATTACCTAAAAATATGAAAGAAAAGAGAATGTTTATCGCGCACGGCTTTTTTCTCATACATTTATTCATTTCACTGAATACAACTGTTCATGTTTTATCTAACTCGACTATTTACATTTTTTGAAAGAGAACAGCTGTGTTTCGTGACGCGCGTATGCTACACCCGAAAACAAGATAAAGATATACGACTGGCGCGTATCTCGCAGCTGAAGTATTATAAAAATACGACACCGTTTTCTCAAACACAGAAATATAAGAAATGCAAACGGGCACATCCCACACATTTGTCGTCACATTTACGTAGATCATAATAAATGAACAACTGAATAAAATGACCACACACAATATATATATGAAGCGACAGGCGCTCTTAATTAAGGTGGCCTTAACCGAAACGCGTTCATTCTCAACGTCGGTGAAGAATCAGGAAAGCACTTGATACAGAGCCAAGTGGTAACTCTTTTTTTGTTCTGCCATTTGTCGTCTCTTTTCATTTCATACTCTCGTTCCCGCTCTATCTGCAAGCTCGAAATCTCGGCCCGTTTTATCCGACAGTAATTTCTCCTTTAACGTAGATTCTTCCGAAGCCTGTTCTTAAGATTTGTTTGGGAAATTTGTTTAGGAAATGGTTATTAATCGCTGTCGTGGTAATGTCAGTCGACATTCTTTGAATTCTCAGACAATCGTGAATTCTTAATCCCTGCCTCATCAGTTGCCTCGTGATAATAATCATTTCAGAAAGACTTATTCTAAACTCGTTAAAGAGATTTGTGTCGTTAAAATATTATACTTTTTTTTACAAATGATAAAATATCATATAAACACAATATTCACGTTTTTATATAACTTGAACAAATTATGTCAACATGGGAATTTTTTAATTTAGATTTTACTTTGATTAAAATTTCGTTGACTTGTAATTTATCAGAAATTTGTAAATTAAGTAAAAATTCGTATCTTTTTTATCATTAATCGTAAATTAAAATAGAGGATATTTCTGTACAAATATTATTAAAGATTCGAGTTCTTACTTTATGATGAAAGAAGGGATTCAAGAAAGATCGAACAAAGTCGCGAAGGGCAGAGAGTAAAAACATCGAAAGATTTATTGACGCAGAAAAATATTCAATTTGATTTCAGGTCAACTCCAATGCCATTAAAGTTAGCAAAGACGAGCACAGATCGGAAAAGCAGAAAGAAAGCAAAGCATCCTAAAAGAGAGCATCTAGTTGAATCAAATAAATAAAATTCTTTTACGGTGTATGTTGCGTTAGATCGAATCACTTACTTTATTTCCTACACATCTCCTTACAAATCTTTACTGCAGTTTTCTACCGTTTTGTAAAATACACAAAATATGCGAGAGATACGTTATATCTCAAAATATTTTCCTTCGATATCTCCTTGGCAAAAAGTAGCTGATTGATACGAAGTGCATATTGGTTTTGGCATATATTCTATTATCGTTTATCCTTCTTCAGACTCTCGATCTTTTTACCAAATCTACGTCTTTAAACTCTTTACATACCACAATGTTTGAATTTTAACACATTTATGATTATAGATTCTTTAAATTTAACATTTCATTTTTGAGACGTTTTTAAGCTAGAATCCTCAGAATTCTGAATTTTCAAATTCTTTATAAGTATAAAATTTTTTAACTTTCAAATAATTAACATTTTGTGAATTTTAAAATCTACATGCAAAGTAGTAGAAGAATAGAATTATGAGATAAAAAGTTAAAATTTTATTATTTATTAAAATGTTTTTATTATCTTTTGATACAACTTTTAAATAATATTTTGAATTAGTAAATAAATATAAAAAAAATCAAGTTTTCGAGATAAGTTTTCGCTGAGAAATTCAGCTTTGAATTACATCAAGGAGTCGAGAGAGAGAGAGAGAGAGAGAAAGAGCTACAAACGAATTCCGAGTACTACAATCTATTAGACCGACTATAACTTGAACGTTATTTCGCTCGATCCATTCGTTTTGACCGTAGCAATAATAATTTGCTCGTTATCGACGATGGACAGCAGCTGTTATATTTGATTCGCGGATAAAACTTGAGAAATGTGTCAGTTGAATAGATTTTATTTGCACTTAAAATTTCTCCACTAAAAGCTTACTTTGTTATTGTCAAAGTTTTTATTTTATAATTTATGCAGTAGTACGACAATTTATGTTTTTAATATTTTATCATTAACATATTTTGTTCATTGCATTCATATTACTGTTATGTTCAGTAGTTATTTTTTATTAACATAACCTGTCGTTATTTCACTTCTATTATATTTTCATCTAAATTGCCTATTTGCTTCATATGTCCCGTGCGCACTCGTATAATATTTGCATATAAAATATCGGAAATATAAAATAAAATGGGAATATAATGACATTCGCGAGATCAGAGTAGCAATATTGCACGCATATTATATAGTTTGACTATTGATGAAATATAAAGTATTACGTATGTATGCAAGTTTTTCCATTTCTTGTAGTTGATTTAGTGACAACTGATATTCGCTAAAGATATTTAACGGTACAAATGTTCAACATAGTTTCGAAAATTCGCTCTAATTAGCAGCGATTAAAGAAGGATCTTCCTTCCCTGCGCATCCTTTCAGACTGTAAAAAAGCTGAAGAACAGATCTTTAAGAGTCGCAAACTTCCAGTCTCTCATCGTTGAGCAGCGTTGCTGCTCATCCAACCATCGCCCATTGTTTGTTACGCTATCGAGCGCCTTTTGCGAGCTTTTATCCGCGTCACGGAACTCCAAAACACACGATGAGAGTTCCGTGATAAAATCGGGAAACGCGGGATGTGCAGTCTTGCACGTATGCATGCGATGGATATCCGTTTCCACGGGAACTGGTTTCCTGTGAGACTTGTCAAGAATTTTTCTGCGTACCAAGGGAGTTTTTATACAGGTGTGAAGAACACAATGGAACATTTATAACTCTAATAAAATTTTTCAAGGAAATTCCAATAAAAGTTTTAGCATAAACTAAATGAGCATAACGTTAAGCGAACATGCGTGTGAATTATGCACAATATTTCACGCCTAAGTCTTTGCTCGCGTTCGCTCGGCTAAATCTGCCCTGCATTCGTTATAATTTAGCACAATCTCTCCGTGCTCTAAATAAATATTTAGGTGATTTTAATATTTAAAAAGGAAGACAAGCTTTTCGAATACGGCGCGAACAGCAGGTTGTAAAAGCTAATGGCCCGTGTTAGCATGGCACATTTAGCGTTAAACGTGGCATACGATTATAGTTTATTCGTGTCGTATGAATATCACAGTTATAATGTGACAAAAAATTTAAGCAATCTCGTTTAATTGAATATACAAAATGTAAACCAAAAAGTGATATTGTCTTTCATCTAATAAATAGTAAACGACGATGATGGAAGAAAGAAGAAACAAGTAGAAAGTGCAACTTTATCCATCAAGGCCATTGTAGAAAACTTATTAAAAATCTAAGGACATTTATGCCCTCGATTAATATCAAGTCTTGCGCGAAGTGCTCCAAGTATTGTGATGTAAGCTTTGGCATATTTTTTGTAAGAAGAACAATTATAGGCAGTAATGATTTGTTGGTATCTTTTGGTTAAAATTTTAAAAACGTCAAGATGACAGAAGACTGCCTATACTGCTTGAAAAACATTTATTTTGACAATATTTAATAATAAAAAGAACCTATCCCCATATCGCGATGTAATTTCTGATATCGAGAAATTTCTGTGTAGAGATTTCTGTGAAAGATTTATAACATGATATATCGAGTCTCTCCTTGCGCGCGACAAGCAGCGATATCATTACAGCTCTATGCCACAATAGCGATATCGCTGCAGCATTGGCATGACGATGGAGGAGGTCTCGCCACAAGGTAACGCGTCTACACAGTTCATGACATATCGATTGAGTTCGTGCGACAGAACGCTGAGCTCAGCATTGTCTGTCACGTTGAAGAACGCGCGCGCATCTCCGTGACATTTCCGCTTCTTTCAACGCGTTATCGATACCCGAAGATCCAGCAATCTTTAACAGAACGGCAATCTAACCGAAAAATTCTCAATGATATCGCTATTATAACACAACATATAGTTCGATAGTTGTTCGATAGTTGCGCAAAAAAGTTTTTATTACTTTTCGAGAGGTGCTTCTCGGCCGAAATATGCAGAGAAATAAATCGGATTTTCAGCGCTTTCTGTTGAACTGAAATCCGTATCGTAAATATCAATTAAGAGAAACATGTTTTTTCAATTAATTTCGGAAAAGCTTTTATGTTTCTGATTGATATTAAATCCCTTTGTGATTAAGTATTTTGATGTAAACTGTTGACATATTTTGTTTCTAAATGTCAGAATTGCAAATATCAAAATATTACAATCAAAAATTATAAGATATAGTCTCTCCTTTTCTCTATAATAAAAGCTTTATGAAAATTATATTGTTCGAATTGTGTTATTCTCTTCACTTTCACGACGCAGTAAAAAACTATAAATAAAATATGCCAAACAGAAACAGAACTCTGGAAACGGGCAAGTGGAAATAATAAAATCTGTGAACAGCGATTGTATTGCAAAGGGTCATATGCATTTCTTTGTAGAAGTTAGGTGCATGTAACGGTCGATAGCTTACATAGTTACTGATTTTTTTTGCCGCTATATCTATAATACGCTATGGAAAATCTGCAGAACTCAAAAGTTGCAAACTTTTAACGACACTGTCGTTATACAAAATGAACTTCTTTGCGAAAATATGGCGGATAAAAAAATTGTCTCGGTTAGCATAATTTTATAAAAGTATACTTTTAATTTATCCTTCTCACTTCCCTCCCTCTTTCGCGAACCCTTTAATATTGAAAAACAATTGATTGCATTTTTATTTTTAGCTTCGAGTATTGTAAAAGGACAGTTTGTTTGGTTTGTTTGGAATTGCTTTCTAAGTCTTTTATTCGTTCTTATATGGTTACATTGGACACGCGGAGAAGCAATTGTATTGCAATGTACACATTCGGTGGAAGTGGATTTAATTTAAGTAGTTCTTGCTTCGAGTATTTTTATTACGAACAACATAGATAACAGAGCTGAGTTGAGAAGCGTTGAGCGATAAACGATGAAATACGTTTTTGCTGTGAGCGCTATTTGCTAGAACAGGAAATTGTTACGAAGCGACAAAAATTTATTTGCAATCTCGACAATTGTCCGTGGGAAAGTTTCCCCGCGACATGTCGGATTTTTTATTGAAAAACAAGTGAGAAATCTATAGAATAATTACTTCGCGTGAAAATGATGAAATAATGCAGTAGCTCGGAAACTCGGTTAAAGAAAGCGTTCTGACCACATTTAAGAACTTTTGAACTAGTTTCATCCGATCTTACTGTAACTTGATACATATACATGGCGTGCTCCAATGTTTATTGTGTAAATTTTTAGTGCCAAATGAAATTTAACGAAAATCAAGTTCAATTTTGCTTAAAACTTGCATAAAATGCAATAACAAGTCATCATTTATCGTTGTTTATTGAAATTTATGACAAATATGTATGATATACTATAGAAATAAATTACATCACATGTCAATTAATTATACATATTCCAAATCAGAAGAAAGATCAAAAAAAGAATCTTTCACTTTATTCTAAAAAGAATAAAACAATCGACATTGACAGAAGTTTCGCGATAAGAAAGCGCGGGATCAAAAGGGTTAATGTTAAATCTTCTTAGTCAAGGATTTAGTTCGACCTAGATGGTCCCTGCGGCTGACCTTTCCCGCGACACTGTCTTACGTGAGTGAAAGCGGTCGAAGCTGTGCTTGCAGTCATCGTAAAAGTGGTGAAGCATGCCCTCTCTGCGCGCCTATCCCCCGGTACGCGGTAATAATTTATGTCGCCCTCGCGAATATAGCAACCAATAATCGCGGCCAGACGGTAACAGCCGAGGAAAGATGGTAGAGTTGGCGGTGGTTGGGCAATTGCCTAGCAAGAGTGAAGCGAAAGGAAGGATGAGGGGGAAAGAAGGGTGATATAAACGCATGCGAACCGCAAGCTTGAAAAAGGGCAAAAGTCTGAACATGATAGTCACCCTCGTATGATCATCCTCGGATTTTTCACTCATCGCCGCGCCGCATTTTCATATCTCTAAGACAGTTTCTCTGGAGCAAAGATAGTGTCTAGAAACTTTTTTAATAAGTTAGATAACGGAGTGTAAAGTTATACTTCTTCGAGTTTCTTTGTGCAGTTTTACATTTCGCAA